GGGCCCAGAAGACTCCCTATGGGCAACACAGCGCTGCCCCTCGCCTGGACCGCCATCGTAGCCCAAACTTGACACCTGGCAGTGGATGTGGGCCGAGTGATGACCTTTCCCTGGGCAATCTCCTGCCTTCCCTCCCCTGCCCTCTAGCCTTGCAAGATGCCCCAATGCCAACCCAGCCCTCCCACACCCTGACCCTTCACCCCACATTCCCCAGGCCTGGCTGCCAGCCTGAGCCCTTTACTGCATTCCTTGTGTCTTCTTACTTTGAGTGGTGTCTCTTTGTGTCGGGTCTGACCTGGGGTCCCTTTGCTTTGGCCCCCTAGTCTGCCTCCCCTCTGTGCCCTTTGCACCACCCTCCCTCTCCTCATCCTAGTGCCTCCTCTTCCTCTTCTTCCCCTAGTGCTTTTTCCTGGAGCATGGGCTCCTGCTCATTGGGTCCCTAATACTTTTTATTGGGGTTAGTACCTTGCCTGGGTACATTGGTGAGTTCTGGCTCTTGCCCCTCTCTGCATCCACTGCGACCCCCACTGTGCCCTCCCATCACAGTCCTCCTGGCCCTTGTCCCTTGAAAGGACCCCTTGGCATGGTCCCTGGCCCTTGATTCTTATCTGGGCCAGAGCTTCTTATGGAAAACAGAGCCCTGCTTCTGGCCTGGGCCCTTTGCTCTCCCTGGGCCTATGGTCCTGCCCCCAGAACCCTGACACCTGGCAGTGGCCCTGGGCTTGGAGCTTGCCTACCCCTGCTGGATCCCTTGCCTTACCTCCCCATCCCTGTCCACTTCCCTGAGACCCCTGCCCCAGCCCTGGCTCTTGGCTCTCTGGTCCCTGGCCTGGCTCCTTGCTTGAGCCTCTTGTTGGCCTTTCTTGCTCATTGCATCCCTGGGTTTTGTCTGTGGGCCCCTCACTGGAGCCACTTGCCTGCTCCCCTTGACTTCCCTGTACTGCAGTACCCTAGTGCAGCCCCATCTTCGTGGCCCTGCCCTTCCCTGGTCTTCCCTGGCATGGATCCTTCTCTAGGTCCCTAACCTGGTTTCCTTCCTTGGGTCCTGGGACAGACCCCACACTCCCCATTCCTCTGGCCCTTCATGCTGTGCCATTTTGGGCCCTCCTGTCATCCTTGTGCCTTCTGTGCCCCTTTTCCTAATCCCTTTCCCAGGATGCTCACCAGGGCCAGGGGACTGAACCTGGCCTCTTGGCCCATGGACTTTCTTTAGGAAAACGTAGCCCTGCCCCTTGCCTGGGCCCTTTGGCCTCCCTCAGCCCGGGCCCTGCTCCCTGACTCTGACACCCTCCAGTGGGCCTGGGCCTTGAGCCTCCCTCTTTGCTCTACCAGCTCCCTCCCTTTCTTCCTTCCCATCAGCAGTCCTGTACGTTTTCATGTACCCCTGGCCCCAGCCCTTGCACTTGGCTCTCCGTTCCTGGGCCTGGCTCCTTGCTTAAGCCCCTGGCTGCCCTGCTCGAGGACCCTGCTCATGTTCCTTGATTTCAGGCCCCTTACTGGGGGCGCTGATATGCCTCCCCTCTGTTTTCCTTGTGCTGTGGTAACCTGGCACTGGCTGGACCCTCCCCTCCCACACCTTCTCCAGAGACTGGGCTCCTTAATTGTGTCCTTGTGCCCCACCAATGCCCCCCACATCCAGATGAAAGGTATTTTCTCACAGTCCCCTCCTTTGTCCCTCCTTTGGTTCTGGTTCCTCTGTAAGAATCTACTCACTTGGGGCAGACTACTGGAATTGACTGGCCTCTATGTCCTGAAATCTCCCTATGGAAACAGAGCCCTTCCCCTCGCCGGGGTCATCCTCGCCGCCAGAACCCTGACACCTGGCAGTGGAAGTGTGCTTTGTGCTCGCCATGCCCTGCGTCATTTCCTCCTTTTCCTCCCCTGCCCTCTGGCCTTCCATGCTGCCGCAAACCCATCCCAGCGCTCCCTGACCCTGACCCTTCGCCTGAGCCCCTGACCATGTTCCCGAGTCGTGTGGCATCATTTGGCTTTGCCTGGTGTCATTCTGTTTTGGGCACTCTAGCGTGCTCCGATTGGTTTGCCCTGTGCTTCCAGCTGACTCCTCCTTCTCATGCTGCCCCTTTCTCCCCATCCACTTGTGCTATACCTGGGCGCACCCAGGAGCAGCCTGCTCATTGAGTCTCTCATTTTTGGTCACTCTGGTGGGATCCTTACCTGGAATCCTTGCTTGGTTCCTGGCTCTTGCCCCTCTCCACACCCACCAGGGCCCCGCACCACACCCTCCCATTGCCCTCCTCCTGGGCTCCATCCCTTACCAGGCCCCCTTTGCCCATTCCCTGACCCTGGTTTCTCATCTGGGCCAGAACACCTTATGGGAAACAGAGCACTTCCTCTCACTTGAGCCACTTGCTCTTCTTTGGCCCTTGGTCCTGCACACGGAACCCTGACACCTGGCAGTGGCCCTGGGCCTCACGCCTGCCTGTCACCTCTCGGATCCCCTGCCTTCCCTCCCTGGCCTTGTGTACTGTCCTGAGACCCCTGCCCCAGCCTTGGCCCTTGGCTCTCCATTCCCTGGCCTGGCTCCTCCTTGGAGCTTCCAGTGACCCTTCTTGTTGCCTGCATTTCTGGGCTTTGACTTTGTGCCCCTCGCTTGAGCCGATTCCCTGCTTCCCTTCCCTGCAGAACCCTAGTGCTGCCCACCTGCCCACCATCCCTTCTCTGCCCTTGCATGGGACCTCATCTAGGTTCCTACCCTGGTCTCCATGCTGGGGTCCTGGCCCCCACCCCAACAACACTCATCCTCTGGTCCTTTCCACTGTGCCCTCCTTTGGATCTCCTGTTGTCCCTATCCCTGCTGTGCCCCTTTTCCGGATCCCTTTACTAGGATGCACACAATGGTCAGGGAACTTGACCTGGCATTTTGGCTCTGGGGGTTCCCTTTGGGAAAATGTTGCTGTGCCCCTTGCCTGGGCCCTTTGGCCTCCCTCAGCCCAGCCCTGCTCCCCAACCCTGACACACAGCAGTGGACCTGGTCTTTGAGCCCTCCTCTCGCTGCACCACCCATTCCATTTTCTATTCTCCCTCCCCTCCCAGTCCAATTAGTTTTCATGAGGCACTGGCCAAGGCCCTGCCCATTGGCTCTCCATTCCTTGGCCTTGTCCCTTGCTTGACCCCTGGCCGCCCTTCTTGAGGACTCTATCCCTGTCCTGTGATTTCAGGCCCATTTTTCCGGCCTCCTCCTGGGCCTCCTCTCTGTTCCCCTTTGAACTGTGGTTCCCTGGCACTGCCAGGACCCTCCCCTCCCCCTGTTTCTCCCTAACCTAGGCTCCTTGAAAGGGTCCTGGCTCCCCACCGACCCTCGCCCCCAATTCCGGATGCAAGGTAGCCCCTCATAGTGCCCTCCTTTGGCCCTTTTTTGGTCCTGGTCCCTCTGTGAAATTCTATTCACTTGGGGCAGAGGAGTGGAATTGGCTGACCTCTGCTCCCTGAAGACTCCCTATGGGAAACATAGCCCTGCCCCTCACCTGGGCCCTGTTCGCCTTCCAAACATTGATACCTGGCAGTGAACTTGGGTCGTTCACTGTCCTTGCCCTGCACAATCTTCTCCCTTCTCTCCCCTACCATCTAGCCTTGCATGTTGCCCCTACCCCAACCTAGCCCTCCCTAACCCTGAAATTTCGCGCTCCAGGTTCAGGGCCTGGCTGCTTGCCTGAGCTCCGGACCACATTCCTTGTGTTGCATCGTGTTGTGAGGTGTCACTTCACATACATATGACCAGGGGGCCCCCTTGCCTGGGCCCCTTAGTGCGCTCTACTGGGTGCTCTTGGTGCTCCCCTCTGTCTCCACATCCTAGCACCAATCCTTCCTCTCCTTCCACTAGCACCTTCCCCTGGAGTGCTGGCCTCCTGCTTCTTGGATTTCTAATGCTCTGTGGGTGGGATCAGTCAATTGCCTGGGATCCTGTCTTGAGTCCTGGCTCTTGCCCCACTCTGCACCCACCGAGACCCCGCTCAATGACCTCCTGTCGCCTTCCTCTGGGCCCCCGTCACTTGCCAGGACCTTGACCTAGTCCCTGGCCCTTGATTCTCATTTGGGCCAGGGCACCTCATGGGAAAGAGAGCCCTGCCCCTCACCTGGGCCCCTTGCTCTCTCTGGGTGCTTGGTCCTGCACCCAGAACACTGAGACCTGGCAGTGGCCCTGGGCCTGAAGCCTGACTCCCCACTGCCAGATCCCTGCCTTCCCCCCTCAGCCATTTCCATGGTCCTAAGCCCCTGCTGCAGCCCTGGCCCTTGTCACTCCATTCCCTGGCCTGTCTCCTCTCTTGAGCCTATGGTGGTCCTTCTTGCTCCATGTGTCCCTGGGCTTGGACTGCAGGCCCCTTGATTGGGCTGCTTCCCTGCTCCCCTTGGCTTCCCTGCATCGCAGAACCCTAGTGCTGCTCACCTGCCTAGCCCCTCCCTTCCCTACTCTTTCAGGATGGGGCCCACCTCTAGGTCCCTAGCCTGGTATCCTTGCTGGGGTCCTGTCCCCCAACCCACCAACAGGTGTTCTCTGGCACTACCTACTGTGCCCTCCTTGGGATCTCTGTCTCTGTCCCTGCTGTGCCCCTTTTCCTGATCCCTTTATGAGGATGCTCACCTGGGCCAGGGGACTGGACCTTGACTTTTGGCCCTGTGGGCTCTTTTTGGGAAAATGTAGCCCTTCCCCTTTTTCTGGACCTTTGCCACCCTCAGCCCAGGCCCTAATCCCCAAACCTGACACCAATAAGTGGACCTGGGCCTTGAGCCATCCTCTCCTTGTGCCACCTGCTCCCCATTCTCTGTCCACTCCCCTCCAAAGCCCTGTTTTCATGGGACCCCTTCCAGGGACACCACTCTTCACTCTCCATTCCTGGGCCTGGCTCCTTGCTTGAGGCTGCCCTTCTCCAGGACCCTGTCCCTTTCCCTTGATTTCAATCCCCTTTATCAGGTCCCCTCCTGTGCCTCCTCTCTGTTCTTGTATTGAAGTGGCACCCCTTTCTCCACAAAAAAAGTCTTACCTGGGCTTCTCCAGAAATCTTCACCATGGCTGATTTTAGGACTGTCAGCAAGAGTTCAATGTAGATAAACTTCCTCTTTTCCTGTTGCCCTGTTTTACTTGGCCACTGGCTGAGAAGATAAAAGCACTCCAGGTGCTGGCCACCCCCTTACAAGTTTTTCACAAATATATCCAGTATAGTAGTTTGTAGAAATGTGAAAACAAGACCTCTGACCTTGAGATGGGCTTCACAGAGATGTCTACATTTTTAAGATAAGTTACCAACTGGGCTCCATGGTAACAACTGGCAGGGAGAGGAATAAAGGGGAAAAGAAGCTCTCCCCTTCTCAGGAGTTGTCCTTGAAGAGCTAACTTGCCCAAAACAGTGAAAGAAACAGCTGCTTTTATGTGAACTTCTGCAGACTGTGAACTTCTCAGCCCCTCCCCTTACATGCTGGGTATAAAATTCTGACTGCCTGAAATTGGGATTCAGGGGATTAATTGATTACAGCAAAAGCTGTGCTCTCTGAACCTGGCTGCAGCCAAATAAAACTGTTTCCTGCTGTGTTCAGTGCCTTGCCTCATTTGACCCGAAAAACAGTACTGTTTGTATCCTGGCACTGGCCGGACTCTCCCCACTCCCACTGCTTCTCCCTAGCCTGGGCTAGGAAGAATGGGTCATGGCTAGAATGGGTCATGGATCACCACCGACCCTGCCAATTCCGGAAAAAAGTTATCCCCTCACAGTGCCCTCCTTTGGTCCTGGGTCCAGGCCCAGGTGCGAGGACTTGGCTCTCCATTACTGGGCACGGCTCTTGCTTGAGCCCCTGGCCACACTTCTCGAGGACCCTGTCACTGTCCCTTGGTTTCACACCCCTGTTGCCAGCCCCCTCCAGTGCCTCCCCTGTGTCACCTCATGCTGTGATATCCTGGCACTGCTGGGACCCTCTGCTCCCCCTGCTTCTCCCTAGCCAAGGCTCCTCGAATGGGGAATGGCAGCCCACTGACCCCCCACCTCTGCACGCCAAGTATACCCTCACAGTACCTGTGAGCTCAAGCACACAAACAGTTAAGTTTTGCTGTGCTTAGCAAAACAAGGAGTTCTGTGAGAAAGCATGAACTCTTTGAACTGTGTCCTTGTTTCTGTCTTAAGAAGATAGGAGAAAAGAATGTTCTGCCAAGTGTAAAATTTATATATATATATATATATATATATATATATATATGTATATGTGTGTGTGTGTGTGTGTGTGTGTGTGTGTGTGTGTGTGTGTTTGCCTGGGAATAACTAACCACAAGTTAATTGATAAGAAATATGGAGCACTGTGACCATAAACAAAGTTTTCCTGAGAATGTTTATCCATGCTTGTAAGGATTAAGCTGGCGAAAGGATGTTTTTTCTTTCCCCTTGTTTTAATTAACAATGTTGTATAAAAGGAGAGAAAAAAGTAAAGATGGTGCTCATTTTCTACTGAATGCATGTGTGTGCGCATGTGTCTTTCTTAAGCATCTCTGCTGTACCAGGAATTACAGATCGTCAGCGGGTCTGACAAGTACCCTCTTTTGCCCCTCCTTTGGTCCAGTTCCCTCTCTGAGGATCTACTCACCTGCAGCAGAGGATGGGAATTGGCTGGTCTCTGCACCCTGAATGCTCCCTATGGGAAACACAGCCCTGCCACTCACCTGAGTCCCCTTCACTGCCTGAACCTTGAGGCCTGGCAGTTAATATGGGACTTGCTCCAACCAAGCCCTGAGTGATCCCCTCCCTTTCCTCCCCTGCCTTCTGGCCTTGTATGCTGCCCCTTCTCCAATCCAGCCCTCCCTAACCCTGACCTTTTACGCTCCAGTCCCTGGGCCTGGGCACTTGCCTGAGCCCCTGACTGCTTTCTTTTGGTGGCTTACTATGGGGTATCTTGGTGTGGGGTCTGACCTGGGAGCCCCTTGATTGGGCCACCTAGTGTGCTCCCTTCCTTGCCCTTTTCACTGCCCTCTGTCTCCTCATCCTAGCACCGCCCCTTCCTCTACTTCCCCTAGCACTTTTCCCTGGTGGACAGGCCTCCTGCTCCTTGGGTTCCTAATCCTCTTTGGGTCGGGTTGGTTCCTTGCCTGGAATCCTTGCTTGGGTCCTGGCTCTTGCCCCTCTTCACACCCACTGCGCTCCTGTGCCATGCCCTCTCATGACCGTCTTCTGGGAACTTGTCCATTGCCAGGACCCCTTGGACCAGTCCCTGGCCCTTGATTCTCATCTGGGTCAAGGCACCTTGTGGAAAACAGAGCCCTGCCCCTCACCTGGGATCTTTGCTCTCCCTGGGTGCTTGGTCCTGCACCAAGAACCGTGACACCTCCAGGGGGGAGCTCCCTCTAACCTGGGTGTCAGTCGGAGTCCCATATACCACTGCACACAGGGGAGAGATGAATCCCCCCTCCAGGGGGGAGCTCCCTCTAACCTGGGTGTCAGGGGGAGCTCCAGACTCCATAGCACACAGGGGAGAGGGGACTCTGCCCTGGGCGGGGAGCTCCTTCTAACCTGGGGTTGGGGGGGGGGGGGAAATCTGAACACCACCCCACCCAGGGGAAAGGGGCTCCGGCCTGGGAGGTGGAGCTCCCTCTAACCTAGGGGTTGGGGGGAGCTCTGTACACCACCACAAACAGGGGAGATGAGGCTCTGCCCTCCAGGGGGAGAGCTCCCTCTAACCTGGGGGTCGGGGGGAGTATGTAAACCACCGCACCCAGGTGAGAGGGGCTCCGCCCTTGGGAGGGGAGCTCCCTCTAACCTGAGGGTCCTGGGAAGCTCTGTACATCACCACACCCAGGGGAGAGGGTGCTAACCACTCTGGGAGGGAGGCCCCTCTAACCTGAGTGTCAGGGGGAGCTCCAATACCACCACTGCACCCAGGCTACAGGGCACTCCTGTCCCTCTGGGGGAGGCCCTTCTAACCTGGGTGTCGTGGGGAGCTCTGATACCACCACGGCACCCAGGCTAGAGAGCACACCCCCCTCTCGGGGGGAAGCCCCTCTAATCTGGGTGGGGGGGGGAGCTCCGATACCACCACGGCACCCAGGCTAGAGGGGCACGCCCCCCTCTCTGGGTGAGGCCTCTCTAACCTTGGTTTGGGGGGGAGCTCCGATACTACCACGGCACCCAGGCTAGAGGGGGAAGCCACCCTCTTGGGGGGAGGCCCCTCTAACCTGGGTGTCAGGGGAGCTCCGATACCACCAAGGCACCCAGGATAGAGGGGCACGCCCACCGCTCGGGGGGGAGGCCAATCTAACCTGGGTGTCGGGTGGAGCTCTGATACCACCAAGGCATCCAGGCTAGAGGGGCACGCCCCGCTCTCGGGGGGAGGCCCCTGTATCCTGGGTGTCACGGGGAGATCCCATACCACCACTGCAACTGGGCTTGAGGGGCATGATCCCCTCTTGGGGGGAGTCCTCTCTAACCTGAGTGTCAGAGGGAGCTTCGATACCACCAGGGCACCCAGGCTACTAGGGCACGCCCACCTCTCGGGGTTGGGGGGAGGCCCCTTTAACCTGGGTGTCAGGGGGAGCTCCGAAATCACCACTGCACCCAGGCTAGAGGGGGAAGTCCACCTCTAGAGGGGAGGCCCCTCTAATCTGTGTGTCAGAGGGAGCTCCGATACCACAAGGGCACCCAGGCTAGAGGGCACTCCTACCCCTCTGGTGTAGGCCCCTCGAACCTGGGTGTCGGGCAGAGCTCCCAGGGCACCCAGGCCAGAGGGCACGCCACCCTGTGGAGGGGCGGAGGTCCCTCAAACCCGGGTATAGGGGGGAGTTCCCAGGGCACTCCCTGCTCTCGGTTGGGGGGAGTCCCCTCTAACCTGGGTGTAGGGGAGAGGTCCCACAGCACCCAGGCTAGAGGGCACTCCCCCCTCTCATGGGGAGGCTTCTCTAACCTGGGTGTCAGGGGGATCTCCGATATCAAAACGGCACCCAGGGTAGAGGGGTATGCCACCATCTGTGGGGTGAGGCCCCTCTAACCTGGGTGTCTGAGGGAGCTCCCAGGGCACCCAGGTACAGGACATGCTCCCCTCTCGGGGCGGGGGTGGCCCCTCTATCCTGGGTGTCTGGGGGAGCTCCCACGGCACCCAGGCTACAGGGCATGAACCCTCTCGGGGTTGGGGGAAGCCCCTCTAACCTGGGTGTCGGGGGGAGCTCCCATGGCACCCAGGCTAGAGGGCACGTGCCCCTCTCGGGGTGGGGGGGAGGCCACACTAACCTGGGTGTTAGGGGGAGCTCCCAGGGCACCCAAGCTAGAGGGCACGCCTCGCTCTCGGGGGTGGGGGAGGCCCCTCTATCCTGGGTGTCGGGAGGAACTCCCATGGCACCCAGGCTAGAGGGCACGCGCCCCTCTTTGGTGTGGGGGCGTCCCCTCTAACCTGGGTGTCTAGGGATCTCCCAAGGCACCTAGGCTAGACGGCACATGCCCCTTTCGGGGGTGGGGGAGGCCCCTCTAACCTGGGTGTCGGGGGGAGCTCTCACAGCACCTAGGCTAGAGGGCACGCCCCCATCTCATGGGTGGGGGAGGGCCCTCAAACATGGTTGTCGGGGGGAAATTCAATGGCACCCAGGCTAGAGGGCACGCTCCCCTCTGGGGGGGGCGGAGGCCCCTCTAACCTGGGTGTAGAAGGGAGCTCCCATGGCACTTAGGCTAGAATCACGCCCCCCCCCTCTCAAGGGTGGGGGAGGCCCTTCTAACCTGGGTGTAGGGGGGAGCTCCCACAGCACCCAGGCTAGAGGGCATGCCCCCCTTTTGGGGGGCGGGAGGCCCCTCTAACCTGGGTGTAGGGGGAGCTCCCATGGCACCCAGGCTAGAGGGCAAGCCCTTCTCTGGGTGGGGGAGGCCCCTCTAACCTGGGTATGGGGCGAGCTACCATGGCACCCAGGCTAGAGGGCATGCGCCCCTCTCGGGAGTAGGGGGGGCCCTCTAACCTGGGTGTCAGGGGGAACTCCCACAAAACCCAGGCTAGAGGGCACGCCCCTCTTTCGGGGTGGGTGGAGACCCTTCTAATCTGGGTGTAGGGGGGAGCTCCCAAGGCACCCAGGCTAGAAGGCACGCCCCCCTCTCGGGTGTGGCGGAGGCCCCTCTAACCTGGGTGTCTGGGGGACCTCCCACGGCACCCAGGCTAGAGGGCACGCCCCCCCTCGGGGGGAGGCCCCTGTAAGTTGGGTGTCAGGGGGAGCACCCATGGCACCCAGGCTAGAGGACACGCCCTTCTCTCCGGGAGCGGGAGGCCCCTGTAAACTGGGTGTCGCGGGGAGCTCCCAGGGCACCCAGGCTAGAGGGCATGCCCCTCTCTCGGGGCTGGGCAATTCCCCTCTAACCTGGGTATCTCGGTGAGCAACCAGGGTGCCCAGGTAGAGGGCACGTCCGCCTCTGGGGGGGGCGG